GGGACCCGCCGACCCAAACGGACGCTGAATTGTTCCAGCTCACTGTCACTGATATGCTGAGGGACGGAGGGAGATACCACAGGAAACTCGATGCCGACCTGATCGAGGACGACTACATCCGCGCCTACCTCATCCGCCCAGCCAAGCCTTTCCGGCAGTTAGAAGATCCAAACGCTGCCGACTACACCATACAATGGAATCAGATCCGTGACACTGTCGGCGAGCTGGTGCCCACGCTGCAAGACCCATCACGCTGGACAGACATTGCGTACGAGACGGTGAAAGAAGATGATGAACTCTTCATAGGCAATACAGTCAGAGGAAGGAATCTCTTCAAATACGACAGAGCTCAGGACATTGGGGGGGGCCAAACGCAGCAATGGGCTATGTTGTGGGTTGAAGGCCAGAAGTACCATGAGGACAAATGGTGAGCCATATACAGGGTCTGGTGTGATCAAGTGTCTACGGTGGTCTATATTGTATATATACATATATGATTCATTACTACCCGTCGCGGCTATCTTCTTTCCTGCAATTGGGCTCTTACTCTGTCTATCACTATCATACACTATTCGATGTTCGGGTCGCTCTCTGTACCATCCTTCCAAACAATCTGGCAAAGACGCAGAGACTTGACAAGCTTGCTCCCCGCATATTCATACGCAGAAAAAGATTTTAGAGCGATCTGCTGACGAGAGTAAATTAGATGCAGTGTGCCATGGGTTACCTGATACTCAGCACCAGCGCTATTTGAAAGTAAGGCTGCTCTGGTTCTTCGCCACACTTGCGAAGGTCTCATACCTATGTGTGAGAAAGCACATCCCATTCCACAGTAGGGGTAGAATAGGACTAGGACTACGACCCTGCAAGCGGTGCTCCTAGTGCTACTACCATAGCATACGCCCGTAAGATAATAGTCTATTCTACAGCTGAAGTCGGCTTGTGGCGCTGATTTAATCTCCGAGCCCCTCTTAGACACGGGGAATATCTCCATAGGATAACCTTCCCCTGATCAAGAAGTGCCACATGATCGGGATTGAAGACCATTGATTGGTCGGAAAATTCTGAAGCTTTGAGGTTGTCTCATTAACAGATTAAGCTCAATCTGCTTCAGGCACGTGCCCAGACGCTGTGGTCTTGGATCTCGAGGTGGATGCCTCGCCCCGCCCTGACCCTCTGGCGGCTGGTACCTCGGTATTATTACATGTTACAATGACAGGAAGTTACCGGAGGCTTACATTATCTCTTATGTCAACCAAAATGACGGCAGGATAGTTAGAATACCATGATTATTCAGCCATTGCCGTCTCATGTATAATATATCCCAAGGGGAAATCATCAAAGACTGACATAGTACAACGGAACGAATCCTGGCGAACCAGTGGTGGAAAAGAGGAAAGGAATAGCAGGTACTTGGAGTACTTCAGGACAATTAGTTATGCTACAGCAAGCTGAAGCATACTCCGTACAAAGGAATAACATCTGCCCGCCCGTAAGACTGAAGGAGCTCATGTTTCCTGTGTAGCCAACCTACTACCCTGCTCTACTACCGCGAAACAAGCCATTAACCGCAGTAGATCTAGTTAGGAGACAACTTGGTACGACTCCGTGTTCGGCTGCTAATACTATCCTGAGAAATAACCCCCATCGGAGTATTCTTAACAGCAGTATACTTGCTATTGGTCTTCTGTCTCTTTGCTGTAGGCTCTGTAGCATTCTCGGCGCTTGGCTTCTCTGTATTAGCTTGTACCGCGTTTGTTGCATGCTTATGCTTGGTCAGCTTTCCAGACAAAGCGGTTATAGAATCAGCGTGACTAACTTCTGCATCTACAAGGAGTTTGAGTATACTCTGATACTTGGCCTGCATGCTAGGATGCTTGACCTGTATGTGTAACTCGGCTACTTCCGCAGGGCTTCGGTCACGGAATTGTTTGCACCCCGGTCGCGCCGTAGGATCTGCGCCCGCGTCTAGTAGTATTTGGACCACGTCCTCCATAGCGAAACGGACAGCACAGTGTAAAGGCGTGCCCCAGTTCGCGGAGGTCGTGTTCGGATCAAGACCCTTGGCAAGAAGGAATCTAGTTTTGAACGCTGTATTCGACCTGCTCCAACAAATAGCGGAAAAGAAGAGACTGGATTCAACCTTAGCCCCATATTCAACGAGCAGGTCGAACACAGCTCCGTTGTCTTTATAGGCCATGTTAAGGGCGCTGGCGAGGGGTTTTGTCTTTGTTGGGCCGCAACGGTTGGGGTCAACACCTCGCTCCAGTAACTCGCGAGCACAGGCAGCGTTCAAAAAGCTATGTTCCCTAGAAGTTAGTCTTGCAATCAGGGGCTACCCAACTGGCCACTAACGTACCGGAGAAGAGGCTCGCCGGAGGACGTGGTACATTTTCTAGGTTTCAGGCCACGGTCAAAGTAGAGGCGAATTACACGCGGGTCCTGATGGCCCTCCTTCCCGCAAAGAGAGCCTACTGCGCGGGATGTCATGGGCACGCCGGCATCGAAGAGCGCGGCCACGATATCCAGATGTGCCGCTTGGGTGGCGCGGCTGAGTCCGGTGTCAAGCGACTCAGCAGAGAGTCGCCCGCTGGCGAGGGCCTCCTGGACTTTCGGCAGGTCACCATTACCACACGCAACAAGGAATGTGTTGATATAAGCTGTATTTGCGCTGTTGGGTGGCATATTATAAACAAGACAGAGATTTGAATGGGAATGGGAGTATGTACTGCAGAGAAGTTGCAGGCGTGGAGCTTCAAGGACAAATTTATGCGTGTAAAGGGCAGGCGGATGTGATGGGCAAAATCAGGGAACAGCGAACAGCCAATCAATCCCCAGTACCTGAGTATACGGTATGGAGGAGACTAGCTTCGAGGATACTATCCTGACCAACACGTGACTACTACCCCAGGATGAGGGTATCGCCAAGACAAGGAGTATCAGAAGCTACTCTACAATCTACTCTGTGGATACTCCAGGAGTAGCGATAGGAGTCGCGATGAAGTCGCGGCTAAGAAACTATATAAGGACACTCATTAGCATTGTATCTAGCACTCTTAGTTTAGTTCCTCGCGCTCAATAACAATCTCTCACTTGAGTACAAGTTCACTAGTCTGATTCGTCAGTTACTCTCTACTATTAAGGATACATCCTTAATAGGCCTTGCTTCTATCGAAACTGTTCATTGACATTGTGTGTTACCTTTGGATTGTCCTTGATCTATGAGAGATCATTGTACTATTATGTCAAGACGTATACCTGGTTGGTATAGCGTTATAGGCTACCTGGTCAGTAGGCCGCAGGCAAGTATCAGGTATAGTCCAGGGACTATATCACCCCGTTCCCAAAGTAGTTGAGCAGAAGAACAGCGGAGACGGATCCCAGGGTTTGACACCTAATCGTCATCCTCTTAAATCCAAAAATCACTATAACTCTAGTCTTCTTAATAGATCTAATATTTTTATATTCATACATAGAGAATAAATATAAAAATATCCCCCTATCTAGGCCTAGATCTAGTCAGAAAGCTTATCATTTTTAAGAGACTCTAGATAACATGCACCCAATGGTTTAACCCATATCCACGTGGGTTGGATTAGGGCTGGCAACGCAAAGCGTGGATTGGGTGGGTTGGGTGTGGATTGGTGGATTGGGTCAGCCAGTCTAGGTACAGTTGTAGTAGCCTTTTGTTAGAAAATAGAATACCGCTATGAGACGCTACCCTGACTGGGATAATGTCCGGATACTCTTTTGGCCTAGTGGTATTATAATTTGATACCTTTTGATATAGAAAGGTTAAGGTACCATTCAGAGCGGGTTCAGTCCCTTGACATTATTTAGCCGAAAGCGCCGAGTACATCCGTCAATATAACTTGAATTCTACCTTACTGTCCTAAACCCCCTTTTCCTGAGATGCAGTCGGTGATCTTACATTGCCCCATTTCTCCCAATGCACGACTAGTATAGTGCATACTATGGTACTGCTATTTTGCCCTCGCTACGAGATTTAGCCGAGAAATCTCTCCAATTCTGTGATAGTACTGACTAGTTACTCCTAGGGACCTAGGCTGATCCAGTCGGACCGCCACTCTCATGGAACAATGCTCGGATGATTGTACATTTTGGTCCTAGGACTTTCTAAGGCTTCCTAGGGCTTATAGAACCACAAGAGGACGGTGGCTCAAGAGCAAGCCTGTAGTAGTCCGGATGTGTGTGTACCATTGCGAGCCTGGTGACCCCCACTTGCCCGACTTTCATTTCCACAATTCGGACTGTATCCTCCCCCTCTTCAATGTACAGTACACTTGTCTGAGATTAGCAGTTCGCCGGAGCTAAGAAATGTGCGGAGCCTCGCCTCTGAGCTCCATTTCTGTACAATTGAGGATCAAAGGGTATATAGAGTAGTCAATACACACTCTACAGCATCTCACTCGAGTTTCGGGACTACACCCATTTCATTTCCTCGGGGCACAATGGCGCCCCCGACGCTCCTGTTATTGTCTCTCGGTTTTCTCTTCTCTATACTTGCTCATGCGGATGATGAGTATTTTTCCGTGGGTGACCTGAGCCAGTACACCACGGATGGAGTATGTCTTTACGGCTTCCCACTACGTTCTCTCCGCAAGCATCTGACGCCTCTCTAGGTCCCGACACCCGTGCTCACCGGGTCCGTGATTGAAATTACTGCGGTAGGTGATCCGGCTGAGAATGGAATCTTGGCATTCCTGTCTCCAGATATGCAGACCAGCCTGAAATCCACCATGGATAGCGACTGCGCGGCGGACATTGACTCAAAGTGCTACCAAGAGGTCCTGGACGTCCTTGAGGGCACTGGCCGCACTCTCCAATCCCGCAGTCTGAACCCACCCGCACTAGAGCCGCGCAACTTGGCTTATCTAGGGGCTGGCGCGATGGCCATTATCGGCTTCATAATCGCAAAAGTCTACCGGGACGACAAGGTGGTTCCGGTGCCCATCAAGATTCCCCCGGCGCAACTGGAGGACTCTTTCAATCTGGAAACTGCTACCGCCATCGTCTTCATCACTGACTTCAGCCAACCAGAGCAGACCATCACGCAACCTCCAGAGCAGGACACGGCGACTGGACTGCCAGCCACGATTACCACCTTTGCGAGTGCCGGGAACGGCGCGAGTGCGGGAGATATGGGCATCCAGCTGGACTCGACGGTGGCAGCGCACCTCCAGACGCTGCTTTCCGGCTCGGACAACAGCAACTGCGACATAGGCGCCGACTTCTTTTCTTCATCCTCCCTCCGGTCTCGTTCGCTGGACATGGCCAGCGTCATCTGCGGCGCCGAAAACATCCTCGCCGACGGCATCGGCCGGGATGGATATCCCAACTGGCTGCTCATGAATCACGGAAACTTCCCGTGGACCAATGCAGAGCTTGTGGCAGGTGTAAATACTGTCGTGCAGTGGGCACTCACTCAGGCTGACCGGCTGAATCCGGGGATCAGCGCATCTCATCTCCACGGGCTGGCTGTCGGGGCCTTTGCCTTGTCGTGGCTCTACTTCACCAATGGGGCCATCACGACCAATAATGTGATCCCCGCCGCATCGCTCCGGGGGGGTCCTACCGCCACGGTGTGCCAAGCGCAGACAGCGACCCAATGCGGCGTTGAGTGCGAGGTCCAGACATTCGCCCCTCAATTCGCCTGCTCAACTGCCTGCTTGACCGTCACATCTTGCGATGCGCAGGACGCCCTCACCACCACCCTCACAGCCACCATGACTGCTGTCGGCGCGGACCCAACGGGGAATTCGTCGACTGCGACTGGTCAAGGGCAACAGATCGCTGTCGCTTCGTACATCAACCCGCTTGGTGACCCGGCTGCGTGGAATCGGCTGATCGCGTATGATGTGAAGAAGATGCCTATCTTAGTTGCCAACGTCGTGAACGGCCCGGATTCGGCTCTTGACTCGAACTGGCAAGGTGTGATCCAGCGTGCTTCGGCTGCGGGTAAAACAGTGCTTGGTTATGTACGGACTGGATACCTGGGCGTGAGTGTCCAGAAATTCCAAACACGGCTGGGCTCGGGGAATCTGGCGGATTGGACTGCTCAGATCGAGGAAGATGTTGATATGTGGTACAAGCTTTACGGCGATAATATCGGCGGTATCTTCTTTGACGAGGGCTGGCCCGAATGTGGTGACAACAATGAATATGCGGATCTGTATAAGTATATCAACGCCTATACGAAACGTGCTCACCCCGGTGCATTCACAGTCCTGAACCCCGGATCTCCTATAGCATCTTGCTTCGAGGATACCATGGATACCCTTCTGACTTTTGAGCTGAACTACGATTCCTACATCAACTCCTACACACCTAACAATTGGACCCCCAGTGACCCGCGGAAACTCTGGCATATTGTCTACAATGTGCCCGAACCCGCGGTCAGTGAGGTAGCCAGTCTAGCCAAGGAGCGCGGGGTGAGCTTCCTTCAACTTACAGACGACAGCTTGCCCAATCCATACGACACGCTGCCTGCGGATTCATACGTCCAAAGCATGATGAACGCAATCAGTGGTGGCTCCCCATTGAATACAGATGCAGCATCCTGGACCTCTGGAGGCGCCGCAGGAGCGGTGTCTGGATTATCAGTTGTGACTTCGGACTATAGCTCTGCTCAGTTATCCTGGAACGTGGCCTCGAATTCTCTTGGCTACCATGTGTATTCGGGTGATAGTGTTGTTGCAAGTGTTCCAAGCTCAATGACAACGATCACGATTGGCGGTCTGGCATCCGGAAGTAGCTACATATTTCATGTAAGTGCAGTAGGTGGAGGCGGCAGTCTAGGGCCAGCTTCGAATACAGTTACTGTGAATACCGAATCTTTACCTGGTGGGAAAACTGTTGTTAACTACGACTCCTCTCCTTCAGCCACTTCGACCACTATCCAGGCGGACATTCTAGTACCTTACTCGTTTGTCCGCCTCTATCTCTGGGACTCCGTGGGCTGTGACTTCGATACTGATCCAGGATGGAGTGTTAACTTCAACATTGACCATTACGCCTGCACCCACTACATGGTCGAAGGCACTACACTCTACAAGTATAACGGTGTACTTCCTGAAGGCTCCACGGCGCCCCCATGGTCCTGGGAGGTAGTCAGCACAATCACCCTGGACATCACCGGCTACACTTACAAGTGGACGTTACCCCTGGGGACTTCCACTTTCGACACGAGCAAATTCGTGGTTCAGGCGCAAGGCTATAATCCCTTAACCAACGCCTTTGAGCCCGACCCCACTGCTTATGACTGCGAGGGCTCGACCATGTGCACGACCCCCGATTTTGTGAAGTGGTGTGACCAGGCCGTCAATACCCTGCAGCGAAACGACCAGCCCTCTTACTTTGCTACGTCTGCGTGAGTAACCCTGCTCGTTTGCCATCAGTCATTGCTCGATTGGCATGCAACATTCTTCTTATCCCTTGTACACTCAATGCCAATGCTGATCTATGTCTCTAGGAACGAGTCCGGCATTAATCTGTCCGGCAACTGCTGGGGCGATCAGACTCGGGGCTGCGGCGTGTTCATCCAGGGCGATGCCCACTGCAGTATCAGTGGTAACGACATATGGAATGACTACCAGAACATCCGCAACATTGGCGGCTGTAAAAGGTGTGGCTCGTTCCACAGGGAAGACGGCTGTCTGATTACTATCAACTATATCTATTCATGTGACAACCACTGGTAGACCGTGGCCGACGTGCGCCCTATCCTAGGGGAGCTCACGGTTCATGATACTGCGCGGTCAAGGTGGAATGTTGTTGGTCTGTGGATAAGTTTTGCTATCGCCAAATCGGATCAATTGCATGCATACCAGATATCCTTATTCAGCAGACAATATATAACTATATTGTCTTCCAAAATAACCACTTCAACCGTGCTATTCATGAGTATTGACTTCATTGACTGTAACTTGGGCAATATTTCTACGTAGCGTTTTCTAGCTATTAGCAACCTCGACTACTGTTGCATTATCGCCCTGATCCTTCCCTTTGGGTTGTGAGTTGCCCCTGGGCGTAGTTTGGTCCTGCTTCACAGCTTTAGGGAAGAAGAAGACACTAATAGCCTAATTCCACTGATTTCATCTTAGAAACTTCTTTTGAGCTAAGTCTATAATAGAGTATAACTGTTAGCTTGACTAAATCACAGTAAAAATAAGAAGAGCTACTTACCATTCAGGATATATAGCAGTTTAACTAGTATTAGGGCCTAGATTATTAAGGTAGCAACCTGTCTGAACCCCCAAGCATCATCCTCAACTTATCCCTAGCTAGGGTTCACAGATGCCTTCTTTACTGCTATATTATGGTAAGACCAACTATCATGCCTGCAGTCAATAATCCTATTAGCAAGACCTAAAACAGTATTAATACTCTAACCAGTGTCTTATGTAACTTGTCTCTCTGGAATTTCTGCTTCAGAGACTGAAGCTAGAAGGTGATTATTCTAGTAATAGCAAAGATGGCAACAGTCCATGATGGATACAGGACCGGATTGATGACGCTATAATCTGTTGAGGTGTGGGCGCACCCATCTGATGATGAAAGAGACTATCACCGTCTTAGGGCCGCAACCCACGCAGAGAATGGGAGATTTGCCAACTACATGAGGCAGCATGGACAGAAACGCAAAGTCGTTTCGGCTAAGCACCAGGAAGGTACAGATACGGAGACCGGCCAGGTCTTGGTGACCAGAGAGCAAATGTCGGCGTGCATCAAGAAGGTGAGCTCATAGGCATGTCTCAGTATAGGCAAACTGGAGACTTGTCTGCGGTATGCCCATCCTGATCAGTCATGATAACATCGTCTCCGCCCAGCGTCTGTTGTCCTTGATTCACGTCGATTTTTGGTTAGAGGGGGGGGAGCTTCCATTATACCAGATGTACAGTGGTATGAAGGTGATTGTTGGCATAGGGACTCTTGTTGAATGATTTTGAGCATTTCAGTGCGTTCGTTCAGCAACTCAACAACTTGATGGTTCTGGTCAATAACTATTGGTTGTCAGACTCCTATACACAGCCGGTAACTGTAGTAATTAGGGTTCACCCTTACTCTGTAGTGTAATTTAATCCCACCTAGTTAAATTAATGCATCTAGCTAAGATTAAAGTCCCTATCTCTAGCGTTATTGGGGGCTTCAAACTGAGGGCTCTTACTTATAAATACTTATTATATAGTTTCCTCCAGCATATTAGCTTTTAGTTTAGCTCTAAAACACTGTGTAAATATCTTATTTCTGTCAAGGATATCCTGGTACACTCTTAATAATAAATAGGTAGCTTTCAGAGTGTCTAGGTAAGCTTTAAACCTATATAGAGGTATGCCAGTAACTCAAGGAATGCAGATCACAGGGCTCAGATACTGAATCTAAATGCTGTTTAACTGGGGGATTGTTGGCCTTTAAGAAGGAATTAGACTTGCTAGGTGTGCGAGCATTTGATGGATGTTCCCAAAGAGGTCTTAACTGTAATTTTTGTAGAGGCTGTTCGCCAAAGAGGATCCTTGGGCGCACTGACAGTTACATTGAATCTCATGATCCACAGACAGCGAGATTGGGCGCCACTTGGGGGCGACTAATAAAACCAGGCACTGGGGTGTGCGTAGCTATGGTGTTGCTGTACCTGGACCTCCCACCTTACCTTGAAGTAGCCATCAGTAGAGGTATTACCATATTAACTTTGCTTAAAACTAATACAGAATAAGCAAACTAAACTTAATTCTATATTAGTATTTAATTTCCTGAAAGAAAGAAGACTCTTTCCTAAATAATCAATACCAGAAAAATATTACCATGCTGTAATTACCAAGATAAATATAATATATATTTAGACCACTCCACTGCTAATAGGGAGGTTCAGATACCTATCCCTTGAGTTAGTTACCCATCAGCAGGAGATGTAGATCTCAACTGACTCACAACCTGTTTCACTTCTAATTAACCATCTCTGAAGGAGTAAAAGACATTCTCTGATATATCCATTTAATTTAGAATTCTAGAGGTGGGCTGGTCAGCTATATAGGCATAATAAAATCCTGACTATGGTTAATTAATGCATGATCTATAGCGCTAGGAGGCCTACAGATCATAAGGTATAAAAACAGCGCAGACCACTCTGTTCTCTGTATATTAGATAATAGCTGAATAAGACTACTCACTTACTGTCTAGCATAGATTAATAGGGAGAAGTAATCCTCCCCAGCCCTGCTACTTATGAACTGAATAGGGAAAAAAGGCATGCTAAGAGCTGCAGGGGAAGAGGCCTTATAATATTACTTATTCCTAAGTCTAAACCATTCTATATAGAGCCATTTTAATAGTATTTACTTAGCTTAGAGAGACAGAGTATTAAATATTGTAAATAAGAAGAGTAGTTATAAATACTAGTTAATGTCTTTACTAATATCTCTATAAATAGAATAAAGCATGCTTTACTTAGATTATCCCTCCCTTATCTCTAGAATTTCTATTTTCTCTGTTAACTCCCTAGAGGCCTAAGTAGTATCTCATAGATTCCTCTAATCTTATAGTGACCTGCACCAGGGCATCTTCTATACTATAAAAGATCTTGAATATCTGCTCCTGTAATTATAATAAGGCCTATTTTAACTCTTTCTACTATTAAAGCTCTCCCCTTAAGTAGCTAACCTTATAAATAAGGTTTTCAATCTGCTGCTAGAAATTATCTAATAAGTATTTAGACTATTAAAGTTGAGATAGGAGCCTTTTAAGGCTAGAGGATGTTCTATTATAATATAAAAATCTGGTCCTTAGCAGGTGTGATTTCTTCTAAAATAGAATATAATTACTAATGTGAATGGGATGGATGAAAAGATTATTCTATAGTTATTATTAAATATGTTATTAGATCTAGAGGAATAGATAGAAAAAACCTAATTAGGAGCTGTTAGAAAAGAATTTCTGTGTTCTACTTGAGGGAACAAGGGCCCTTTAAGTATGTTTACTATCAGCGTAGCTGCCTTGGGACATAGTGACTATAATATGAACATAAGGCTCAGACTTTCCTTTAGTATGTCATGTCATCGAGTTTATTGAAAACAGTATAGGATACAATATAATACTATTTTAATATGTACTGCTCATACTATAGCTCATAAGTAGGGTCCTTATGCATAGACATCCTTGCCTCTCTCTAAAATACATCTAGAGCTGTCCTCTGCCATTATTTAAATATTGCAGACTTGATTTTGCATATTTAGTAGCACCTCTGTGAACTGCTGTATAGTAGCATCTAATAACTTAAATATAGTTTATAATATTAAGATGGATTTGCATAGCTATCCCTGGTCTAATATGGAATAAGTATTCCTCTAAGTTCCTATAAGAGAACTCCCTAAATAGCCTTAGCCTCTACTTATATCCTAGGACTTAGTTAATAGTAGAACTATAAGATATAATTCCATCTCCTTTGCTCTTGCTCTCTCTAAATAGAAGCTTTAGAGTAAAGATTCTTTCTCCTAGTTAATATATAATAACCTTGCATTGAGGTTATACTTCTTATATCTACTTTATGATAAAGCTTCCTCTAACTGTGCTAGGTAATTAGCTAGATTCTTTTATAATACTTTAGTTTAGTGAATTTTAGACTCTAGTTGCTCCTGGTACATCCTTAATGCCTACTTCTGTTGAAATATAGTCTGATAATTTAAGCAGAAACTACTCTGAAAATAAGTAAGTAAATAGCTAATATAGGGACTATAGGACTACTAACTAATATTTCAGGCTAGATAATTCTGCTAGTGTATGATTAATTTAGAAATACCATTGTGTCTTGCTGGGATGGCTTCTTACTATAGGGCATTAATACCTCTGTAGTAAAAAATTATTAAAGCTGTTTAAAAGTACTTTTCAGCCTTTAACTAGTATTCTCTAAATAAAGGCAGTGACTAATGTTGCCTACAGCCACTCTAAATATAAAGTAGTAGACAGGACTAGCTAAGCACTAATAGATATGCTACTATGAATATAGCATGATTTGGGTTAGCTAGCAGTAAACTAGTTAATACAGCACAACAGCAGCCCTAATTAATAAAAACAAAATTAGTGTCACACTTTGACATTTTAAGATAATATATAATATGGCTTACTGACAGAGAGTAGTTTTAATCATCTAAGATAATTACAAATGTTCCGCTAATTAAAAAAGAATCTGCTTATTCTTCCAGTAAATAGTGTGGAGAAGATCTCTTCTTAAGTTCTTCCATGGTCCATGGATTATAAAGAAAATTGAGAGTTATGCAAGCAGGTTTTCCCTTTTCTGTTTCTGTCTTTATTGGTCTTAGTGCCTATAATTCATAGTAATATTTTCACAGTATACAGCTAATTCAGAGTGTAGATAATATACAGTGTTACAGTGGTTATGCCAGTTTATGGTGTATAGTTGACTAATTCTTTTTCTGGTATAATGCTGTCATAGCCTTAGCTAGCTATTTAGGAGGCAATCTATATTCTGTCTGGGATCTCTAATTCTCTATTGGCTTAGATATATCAACACCCATATTGCATTGAATGTTGCCCTTGGGGTCATGGCAGGCCAGTTCCTCCTAGGCCCAGGAGCTATATAGGCTGTATTGTGGTCCTGGCATGAGGGTGTCATTGCTGATCTTGCTCATTAATTAGTTTCGCAAACAGAACAAGTGGGGCTGTACCTATTACTGTAGATTCCAGTTTG